ACACTATCGCTTCCGTTTAGACGTTAAGTTTTTCTCTACCACAACTTTTCTATTGCACTCTGTTTTTAGAATTTGAATGTTTCGTTTCCTGCGTACGGTTACGCTAAAATACACAATGAATGAATGATTGAAATAGACATTATTTGTGTAGCCTTTGGCTTCTGTTCTTCGTTCTTCGTTCTTCAAATTCCTTTTCCCTTTTCCTTTTCAATTTGTTGATTACAAAACTAAATTCACGCGGAACCTCTGTTCTAGAAGAGTAGAGAAGCTTGCCTTCTGGTGAAAGAACAGAGTCAGTAAAGCCTGATTTGGAACGATGTTTATGATTTCATTCCTTATGAGATGACGCTTCAGCTTTCAACTGTTCATGGCTTACAACGATTGGATGTATGAATTCAATTTTCCATTTCTTTATGATATGCGTATGATAATTATGATTCATAGACTCTGTTCTTTTACTCATTACATAAATTAAAAATTTTAATGGAAGTTATCATTTTAATTTTAGGTAAAAGTATATCCTTTTCCCCCTAAAAACATTGGATCAAAGTTAACTTGGACGACTGCGATTGGTTAGACCTTTGAAAGTACCCTTACACGGAATAAATTTCAAAATTAAAGTGAAAAAAAAAATGATACTTTTAATTAATTTGTTATTGGAAGGTTCATGTGATTAAATTAATTTCGTCATTAATGTTTAAATCTACCGAAATGGGTGTTTTTCTTTTAAAAAAAAAGCTACCAACTAGATTTTATCTTCTGATTTAAAAAAGTCTCACCCAAATGTTCTATAACAAGTCCCGTTATTTGTTGTTGGAAATGAATACTGCTAAATCACAAGTGTTATTTGTTGCTGGAAATGAATATGGAAATGAGTACTTCACAATCACAAGTGTTATTTGTTGCTGGAAATGAGTACCGCACAATCAGAAATGAGGAAATGAATATGGAAATGAGTACTTCACAATCACAAGTGTTATTTGTTGCTGGAAATGAGTACCGCACAATCAGAAATGAGTACCGCACAATCGTCTCCCAGGAATTAGGTACAAAAAGGGGATGATATATATTTAGATACATATAAATAGACATTCATGATATTTTGCTATAGTATAGACTATAGACTATAATGGTATCAACTTATATGTCAAGGTTCTATTCGATGGGATGGAATATAAATCAAGAGAGATGGCCGAGTGGTTGATAGCTCCGGTCTTGAAAACAGGTATAGTTCGAAACAAAGAACTGGTTCGAATCCCTCCTTATGCTCAGCCTTTTGTTTGGCGAATAGATTTGTTTCTTTATTTTGTGTAGAAAATTAATAGAGACAAAGTTATTAATGGTTTGAAAAAAAAATTGAATTAAAATTTTTAAGGGTTAGATAGTTACAAGACCGATATTTTAATATTTCAATTTATGAGGACTAATTAAAAATTTTAATTTATGTTATTTCGATGATGTCCTTAGCTATCGTTGTGGGCCACACGACGTTAACCACAATCACGTGGCGAAATCACAATGGGCAACATTCCATGAACGTGGTTCTCCTTCACGACAACCACATGGTGAAAGGATATTAAAGGGTGGGGCCTTGTTTCTAAGTTGGTATCTTCATTTTTCATTTCATAACATCCAACTTCATAATTGAAAAAATAAAAATAAAATAATTGACAAAAAAAAAACTAAGATTCCATGAAGGGCAGAGATTCAAATCTCATTCATTTCATGATAAATGAAGTAATATATGAACGAAAAGACATTATAATATATGAACAAAAAGACATTATCGGTACATTTTATCAGCCAACTATTGTTCTATCTATTTCATATATCATTCACATCAATTTCCAAATATTTCAATAAGTTTCTAAGAACCAAGTTTATAAGACCCAATTTTCTGTCTTTATTAATGACATTTACTTTTATTTTTATTTTAAATTCTTAGAAATTAATTTCAATGTGAAACTTTCTATTTCTATCTTATAAGAATCCTAAATGTTAATAAATAAAGTCAAGGGAAAAAAATGTCATAATTTAAAATTAAAACTAACAACATAAACAATACCCTATCATTATTTAATATATTAGCAAAAATGAATACATTAATTTTGAATTAATAGATACATCACTTTCAACTATCTTCATATACCTCTTCCCACTACTCTCACCCAATCAATACCGAATATATGCATATTGTTAATGTATTACTCATTATTAAAGTAAAACAACAATTGTTAGGTAGAAATCAAACGATCAATTTTTGAGATAGTGATAGTGATGAGTGTATCATTCAACGAATGATACACGATTTGACAATAAAAAAAATCACTTAATGCATTAATATATTAAGTTGAGATATAAGCATGAGAAAAAAAATTATGGAAATATAATACAATCTCCTAAATGGTATTTATTGTACTCAGAAAAAAGTAAAAAAAAAAACCCTTAGATGGAGGCTATAAAGTCAAGTTTGAAATAGTAAAAAGTTTGTTTCATAATTACCTTTAAAAAAAAAAAAGTAGGATTGATAATGTTTGTTTTGTTATTTACTAAATTATACTATTTAGTTCTTAAATAATAATAATAATAATAATAATAATAAACATTTTGTAATATTATTTTTCACTTTCTAATTTACTCTTAAAAAAAAAAGATTAAGGAATCCAAGTGAAATTTGAAAACTATGAGTAATGGAAAAAAACAAAAAAAATTGGATTAAGATAAAATTTGAAAACTAAAACAATAATTAAATATATAAAAAAAAAGATTATTATTTATTTATTAAAAACTGCACCCCATGAAGAAAGAAAACATCATAAGCTCAATGGTCTAATTTCTAGCATCAACCAATTTTATTTGAATATGCACTCAAATTGAACCAGACGAGTTGGTGATGAATACTATCAAAGGGTTTTGGATTATATTTTTATTTATTAAAATTCAAATCTCTCGACACGATCAGATCGGAAAAGCGAAAGAAAAAAGAGAACAAAAAAGAATCGGAAGAAACATTAGAAATCCTACTCAATTCCAGCAGCGAATCAAACATTCACAACATAATTATGCATTTATCTTATTAACTTACCCCCCATTTCCACCAAAAAAACAACCAATTTAAAATCAAGAGATTCCTACCTGAGATTCGAACCCAACCCAACCATTTCCAGTTCAAGCTGGTGAAACAAGAGATTTGGTTTTAATTTTCCCCCCTTTTCCATTCTTGCAATCGGCTCCACACCCACCCGGCGGCAGGCACTCGGAGAAATTATCCACTGGAAACGACGCCGTGGCCACCCCGACCGAGAACAGCAGATCGTCGCCGTTTCTCACCACCTCCACAATGTTGACCCAGAAGAACATGAATTTAACAGTCACCCCTTTCAGATCCGTTAGCCTATTCTTTGAGATCTGCCCACTAATGGTGGCTTTGTATCTCAATTCATATGGATCTTCCGGCGAGAATTGGCAAGCTTCATTCAAATAAGCCTCCAATTTTCCGGTGGTTCGATCAAGACTACAACCCACAACACCTTCTGGGAGGAGGCCTATTGGGAAGTTGAATTCCCGGAGAATGTCGTACACCGACGGTGCTTCGCCGTTGTTGGTGGCAGGCGATGCAGCGGCGGTCGACATGGAGATGTGGAAGAATGTGGGCAAGGGAGGCTGAGGCTGAGGCTAATGCTAATGCTGTGGCAATGAGACCATTGAGGGGGGAAAAATAGTTGTTTCTTTTCCTTGGTTGTTCTAAAAATAGGATCTCCCATCTCTCCCCCTTTCTCGCTGAGAAAATTTTAATCCCACCATTTTCCTGGAAAATTGATGTGGAAATGCTATGGCTGACTGGGAAGATTCTAAATTTAAGATCACAGAAATAGAGGGTAGCACCAAAAAAATAGGTTTACGAGAACTATGGACATGCTAATCAAACACGTGCAACTCATAGAATGCTCATTCTCCAAGAGCAGATCATACAAACATTGAGTTCCAATATTCCCCCAAGTTTCCATTCGATGAACTTTCCAAGACATTCAAATAAAGCGATGTTGCAAAAAGAATTTGGTAGTGCAAACAGTGGCTGAAGATTGAACTCCAACATGAGCTTCTCTTCTTGATGATATCTATGATTAAAAACGAAGAGTAGACTCTGATGTACAAAGATCCTGTCTCTCTAGAATGGTATGACACTTTGAGCATAAGCTCTCGTGACTTTGCTTCTTGTTTTACCAAAAGGCCTCGTACCAATGGAGATGTATTCTTACTTATATATCCATGACTATTCCCTAAATTAGTCCCTCTCATCAATCCTGAACAGATCCTTCACGCTGATATGGTGGTCTTAGACTTTTACCTCACCTAACAAGATCCCAAGAAGCAGCCCCCAAGGGGTAGGGGTGGTGGGTCTCTAACAAGATCCCAAGAATCAACCCCCAATTGCTTGTTCAAATCGAAACCCCTGATGTCTCCACAATCTGGGTTGGGAGTGGGGTCAGACTTTCTTTCTAAAAAAAACAGGATCCCAAAAAGTATGTTTTCAGTCTGGGAGTTCCAGATTATGTGAAAAAGGAACAAAAAACAATGGTCTAAAAGAACTTGAAATGAACAATCCAGATGGATAAGAATTGATTCTATAACTGTACCTTCTCCCATTATGGTGGGAGTACTAAATAGTTCAAAGGCAGAATATGACCAACAACAAGGCATATTTTTCAAGATCTGGTAACTAGCTAACAGACAGGAAGCGATTGCCAATGGAAAAACAAAAGGAATATGATCTAACTGACTCATAATTGACTAATTGAACAATAGGCCTCAGTGAGAAAATGAAACCTGAGGGAGAGGCTGCCAATGAAAAAAAGGCGGAATATCATCTGATTGACGAACTGAAAAGTAGGCAGAGTAAGAAAAAGAAGCCAGTAAACGGAATCCGACTGATGAAGATAAGAATCTAGGGTTTCAGACAAACTGATTATGCGATTGATGCCATAGATGATTAAAAATGTGGAACCATTAAACCTAATAGATTGAATTGTTCAAATCATAAATAAGCAATCGAATGCATCAAGAGAATCAGAGACAGGCAGCAGATCACAATGGCAGAAAAATACAATTCTATTTTCCCCCGAAGAGACGATTATTTCAACAAAAGTAGAACAGAACAATAGATAGAGCAAATCTCGATCACCTAAACTGCACTTAAATTTAAGTTCAAAGCAACAAAACATCGTCAAAACAAAACACTCCATAAATTATTAAACACATATATTACCAAATTTCAAGAAGCCGAAACCAAGCTCCCAACCTTGTCGCAGTCAAATCCACATCCACACTGCGGCGATTCATAGAAACTATTAATCGGAAAATTAGCAGAGGCAACTCCGATAGAGAATCGAAGTTCGTCACTATCGCTAACGACTTCAACGATGTTGAACCAAATCAACAAGATCTTAACACTAACACCTTTCAAATTTTTGATTACGCCTTGAGAAATCACGCCTTTGACGGTAGGTTTGTACTCCAATTCGTAGGAATCGATCCAGAATCTGCACTTCCGATTCAAAAAGAGGCTGAACTCTCCGGTGGCTTTGTTGAACTCGTAGCCAGTAACACCAACGGGAAGAATGCCGACAGGGAAGCCGTACTGCTGGAGAATATCGTAGGCGGAGAGAGATTTTTGAGCACAGGCGAGAGGGATCGACGACAATGAGATGAAAGCAAGGAGAAGAAAAGGAACCAAAAGCTTAGAGAAACTCATATTTATAGATTTCGTTCTTCTGTTTTGATTTTGAGTAGAAAATTAAGCTGCCAGATCTTAATAATACCTTTGCCAATGGGAATTTATTTATTCATTTATTTTTTGTTTTCTTAAAAGACCAATAAAACTGAGATATAAGGGAGTCACGTGTTCCACGTGCTAGATTTGACATTTTTATTTTTTACTTATATTATTCTTTTTTAAAATTAGTGAAACTATAAATTAAAAATTTGAGATCATGTTGTCTAAAAATAATCCTTGCCTTTTAAATTTAATTTTTAAAATTATTTTGAGTTTGTATCTATTTTGTCTTTGGTTAATAATAAGTGTCGATTTAATATTTAAACTTTTAAAAAAATTTAATAAATCTTTAAACTTTCAATTTTATAGCTAATTATCTCACTAGAATTTGTGACAAAAAAAATTCTTAGTATATTTGTAAATCTAGAACCATTATTGAAATTTGCAAATTTGCAAATATATATATATAATTTCTATATTCTATATTATTCAATTTTAATCAAGGGAACAAAACTTAATTAAACCCGAAGCATATTTTTTTTTGGAACCTTTAAACATCAAAGACTTGTGAGTGTATTTTTTTTTTTCAAACCTTATAGATCAAAAGTGAATTTATGATCTTACAATACAAAAAAAAGTAGTAACGTTACTGTCCAAAAATACGATACATAGAATGAGAAGACAGTAAAAAAGAAGTGAGACTATGAACTTTTGATATTATATCTAATAAATCATTGTCAATAATATTTAAGACTTAAAATTGCCTTAAATTAGGCTACCATATAATCTTAAAATATTACCATGTTGAGGATTGTTAGGAGAGGAGTCACATTGGCCTAGTTATGGGCTTGATCATAAGTTTATAAGTAACGAATAAATGTCCATTGGTTGAGGTCTTTTGAAGAAACCAAAATCAAAACCATGAAAGCTTATGCTCAAAGTGCACAATATCATATAATTGTGGAAAGTCGAGATTTCTAACATGATATAAGAGCAATACTTTTAATTTAGTTATGTCAATAGAATTCTCAAATGTCGAACAAAGAAGTTGTAAGACTGAAGGTGTAGACAAAAGTGACTTAAGTGTAAAATAAATGGTATATTATGTTTGAGGGCTCCCAGCTCTAGAGAAGGAGTCGAGGCTCGATTAAAATGAGATTGTTTGAGAGCTCTATAGGCTTCAGGGGAGGCTTTATGGTGTCCTTTGTTCGAGGAGAGGATTGTTGAGTATTGTTAAGGAGAGAATCTTGTGCTCAAAGTTTAATATTGTGGAAAGTCGTGATTCCTAGCCAAAAATATCTCAAACTCCTTACTTATCTAATCAACAACAAATCACAGAGATTTATGAACAAAGCTGATAAAACTTTGAAGCAGGCACCATCACACTTAAAACCGTTAATAAATACCCTCATAAAACTACCCTATCTATCCCGCATGAATGGTCATTTAAACAGACATATCAACGTGAAAACAGTAAGAACAAACAATAAAATGGAAGATTATCATTAAAGAATGACAACACTAAAGGCAAATTACCAGTTGTAAAGGGTATTCACAGTGACCTCAATTCATGATTTTGAGAGGGAAGAGCATGTAAACCTTTTATGTGCAGGAGTAGTAATCCACAAAGCTCGGACTTGGCTCAGTTCTCGCCACCAGCACCACCATATTTCCAAGACCAGATCTCCATGGATGCTTTCTGCTGACACTTTCCAAAGATAAATCAAGTATGAAACCACTACATAATTGTGATGATATACAAAAATGCAATCTCTAATCAAACAGAAGAACAACAATTTGGAGGCTGAAAGGAAATAAAGTTAGGAATGAACCAATAAGAGATGAAACGCTAATCTCTACTAGCTCGCATCCCTGAGTCTTTTTATCAAGGTATCCAACGACTTCTTTTTCGGATTCTGCTTCATATTTCGACTTCCGAAGGTTCCGAATAACCGATCCGAAGAATCTTTTAGCTTCTCGGATATTGTGACGACTTTCTTGTAGTCTAGACTGTTGTAACTTCTCTCTCGAATCACTGGATTCAGGAAATTCTCTGGATGGCTGCTCAAAAGCAAGTTAATCATTTGTCTTGCTTCAGAAAGAGCTGCCTTTAACTGATTTAGATCCTCCTCCGCATATATAGAAGCTTGATTATCGACAAAAGCTTCCAATAATTTAATATCGACGTCGAACCCCATTACAGCATTAAGATTAAACCTCTTTACCGAATCGGCTTGTAAAGCTCCGACGATCATCACCGATATGTGAGAAAGAACATCTTGTAATACTCTTTGAAGGACTTGAACAGGCAATATCTGTTGAGCTGTGGAAACCAGAGTTTCTAAATAAAAAATAACCTCATTTACATATTCGTTACCATTTTGTAGAGGCTCATCAGGTACCCAGTTAACATTCTCAATCAACAACATGAAACTATCAACCTTTCCTTTAAGCAACCCCGAAAGCGTCTCTTCCGCTGCCTCACGGGCTTTGATCAGTGGAAAGCGTTGCCTACCCCTCTCAGCCATTCTCAATGGAATACCAGAAAGCTGAGCAGCGTGACGAAAAAAGAAATCGCATGCTCGCTCGAAGACAGCCATATTTGCAGCCATTTGCATGGCTTGAGGAACTCCATGGACAGAAGAACTTATGAGCTTCAACAAGGCTCCATCCAGGACTTCACTTAATAGCCTATCCAAATACTTCTTAACTACATCGTAGAAATCTAGCTGCCCACCATATGACATAAAACTCACAGCATCCTCAATGAAAGACCTCACAATTCGACAGCAATCAGGCACTGTGGTGGAAAATGGTGCAATGTAGGGAAATGCAGGTACAATATCTGAATCTTGTAGCTGAAAAGATAGAACATTCATGGAATATTCATACTCTTTCTTCATCAACATTTGTTCAAATTTGTCAGCGGACAATGCCTCAGTAATCTGTTTACGGCAATCTGATATCAATAGTTCGTGATACTTATCCCGGTGCTTGCTCAAAACATCTAACAAGGGTTCAACTGGATACCAATATCTACGCAAAGTTACTCCTAGCAAGCTCACATAATCCTTGATTAACAAAAGATGATTTGCAGTTTGCATTCTAGAAAACTGATCTTCAAGAACAGAACACATTTTACTCATAGCAGTTTCCCATAGATTCTCAACCTCCATTTTTGATATCAGACCACCACTAGTTCTAAAAATCCTATCCTCCACAATGAAAAATCCAGCAATTTGAGCGAAAAACGTTTGATGCGATTCAAGGAAAGGAGTCATTGATGATACCTGAAAGTCGGATGTTAATTGAAGCTTCCGATTCTCAAAGTAATACTGTTTGAATCGATCTTCGAGTCCTAAAGTCTGGTGTATGTGATAGGCTCTATACAATGGAGTCAAATCAAACCCTAGATGTCCACCTCCGCCGTTGGAGTACAAATCCTTTGCATCATCCCCAACTGTACCAAGGCCGTCTTCATCCTCTTCCTCCAAAACGTACACACAATCTCTTAAGCTAAGTCGACTCTGTTCCTCCGCTTGGCGCTGCTTGATTCGCAGATCTTCTTCACGTTGGCGAGCCGACGACGCTTGACTGATTGCTAACTGTCCCAAAGTCCGACTGACGGCTCGGATCTCTACCAGCCAATCCCCAAACTCCTTGCTCACTTTCCTCTCTATATACGAACGAATTTCAGGAATATACTTCTCCAGCATCCTCTTCAGCGTTGACGATGGCGTTTTGTCCAAAAACTCGTTCTCAATCGAGTCCAAGCACTTCAAAGCCATATAGAAATTACCGTCCTCCAAGTGTTTGTTCGCTCTCGTACAAAGTTCTATGGTATGAACACAGGCGCGGACCGAGTCGAGCGCGAGATTGAGGTTCCGCGACACCGTCCGCGCTTCAACGAAGGCATCTAAAGAAGAAAGCAGGGGAAGACCGACAGATTGAAGCTTAGAGTTGGATTCAGAGAGAGCAGATTTAAGAGAATCGACATCAGATAGAAGGGATCGGAGGTCGTCAACAGCAAGGATGAAATCCTGGTAATGAGCCTTGCAGACCTCTTCGATCTCCAATTCCTTGGACTTGGAGAAGGCGCGTAGATGATGAAGCAGAGTCTCTGGCTTCCCGGAGACAAAAGCCTTCCGTACAAACGGAACTAGATCCTCGCCGTTGCAGATCGCGGAGGAAAGAAGAAGCTGGTCGAGTTTATCGGCGGAGTCACCGGAATCAGCGGCAGACGGCGCCACCTTTCGGCGGTATTTGGAGGAGCTCATAGTGGGAAGGATCCCGGCGAGAGGGCGGCGGTTATGGGCGTTGTGAACAGAGGGAATTTCGGGGGTGGATTTTGTTATTCATTAGAAAATAGAAGGAAAATGGGGGAGTCGAAAGGCAATATATTTTATTGACGAAAATGACACTGCCCATGAATGCTGATCTGGCTTTGACGGATTGAAAATTTGGGGATTGACAAAGGGTATTTTGGAGATTCTGGACACTCATGTTGACCGGAGGAGGAAGAGGCGACGGGAATTTTGACGCGGGTAATTCGGCGGCGACGGTACCGGATCGCATCTTGAGAGTATAATTTACTGACAGTAAGAGCTCCCGGTATGGGTAAAGATGGGTAAATATATATATATTATAGACTAAACCTGGCAATTTAAAATTAAAAAGGAAAATAAACGTCTCAATTTTTATATCTATTAAACAATTTCTTAAATATATATTTTATAAATCATTAGAACATAAAAATTATCGTTGTTAATTGAACTTCAAAACGAGTTGTGTTTTTTTATTTCAATTTAAATTTTGTATCTATTCAAAATTTTAAAAAAATTCTTCTTTAAATTTATAATATTTATTAGTTATAAATTAAAATTTTAAGGTTTAATTAGACTTAATAAAATAACTAAATTATATATTTTTTTTTAGTGTGTTTAATACCTATTAAATAAGAAAGTTTTTTATAAAATTTTAAAATTATCACCCAATTTAAAATTTTTAACTTTAGTTTAACATCCGTATAATTAGTCGTGTCATTCAACTAAAACCTTATTGTAAAATTTTAAAAAAAGCAAAGTATAAATATAAATAAAATTGGTAATTTTAAAGGACTTTCCTTCTCGAGACTCAACACAGATTTACTCGTGTTGTATTATTTTAATAAAAAGAGATCTTTCGTAGTTAGTAAAACACCCACTCCAATTCAACCGCTATAGAAAAAGTAAATTATTATATGAAGCTAT